GTAATAGATGAAACACTGTAGAATTATACAGCAAAGACCTTTAACGAAGTCGGTCAATTGAAATGTTATCGAACATAAATGTGGTTTGTATTTCTTAATATTAACAAGTCGACAATACAATAAAATTGTAAAATGATGCGGAAGCGAACCTTATCACAGGAGACCCGACTGCATGATTCTGAAACATAAATCCTATATAGTCAGCTCCCGACTGGCTAATCAATACCCGGTATTATGTATTATTGAGCAGATGTCTGTGTTTTGACTAGTATAAGGCGTAGCGGGAAGTGCACCATGCTACATTTCTATAATTGCTGTAGAACTGCATTTCAGGACGAGTCAGGCTTATGTGGCGGAGGAAAACTGGAGTACCCGGAGAGAAAAAAATACGACCAAGGAATTGCCCCTAGAGGACCCCGAACCCAATACAAAACCATTGTTAACTATTGCAAAAGACATGTTTTAATGCATTGTCGTTTTGTTGTCAAGAAACTTACTCGCAGTCAGCTCTCAATCGGGAACCGTCGGCATTTTCCGTAAACACGACGTTTACTGAGAGAGGAAGAGGCAAATGTACCGTCGTTGATGGTCAGAGAAACGGATGTGATAAATATGGATGATAAGATGAGGGAATAAAACGGAAAGAATACATAACTACAATAAACACTGTTTATTGGGGTAAGGGAAAGAGACAACGGAACCAAAATAATTGATAAGGAAGAGACACTTTGGGATGGAGGTAGTGGTGGTATATATGGGACAGAGAAAGGGTTTGGGAGGGAGGAAAAACTGGGTAAAATGGACGCTTGGAAAATGCCACTAGTTAGCCCACTAATCTAAACATCTGGATGATCAATAGCTGTTGTCAGACTACTTGTTGTAGCAGACATGTCACGACGATTAGGTCGCCAAAACATATATTTACAAATTCTTTGTCTTAAGTAGATAATAAAAGGCACGTACACGTTGAGTAAGGTCCAACTCCAACAGTCATTAAATATTTTATAACGTGACACCTAACTTGAGTTATGACTTTAAACCCAATGTCAAGTGATATCATCCTGTGTAACATAATGAATTAAGTGTTCTCTCTCTCTCTCTCTCTCTCTCGAAAAATAAAATTCTGGCGCGTCAATATTGTTTATTTCATAGGCTTCACATGTAAGATGTGCTTTGTACATGCAAACTGCAAGAATTTAGAATTGTATAAATATTTAACCGCCATTAAACAAGGGTTCTTAAAGAAACCAAAGAATGCCAATGTGTAAACTAAACTGTCATGCAAACTCACAATCGATGAACTAACGGAAATTTAGGAAAAAACCAAGAATAAGAACAGATGTTTGCAGGGTACACGTATTCTGATTCAACGAAGACACCCGCCAAGTAAATCCGGGTCAAACCCAGGCGATGTCTCGTATCAAATAAAGACAAGTGTCTCATAATCAAAGGATTTTTCAAAATTATTTAGATGAATAAACAAAATATGGAACTAGAGCAACTATCGAATAATGATATGCGCCATAGCGATATCACATCTTCGTCATTGAACCACATGGCGACAGCTGGGCACACATAGCAACATTCAAAATGGCGTCCTATGTTATGCTGAGAGCGGCGTCGTAGTTTAAGTGTTATTAGCTCATTATATATATATATTGACGTATATGTCGGTTTTGAAACTTATATTAGGGATGATAACAGAAATATAGCATATGTGAGAGAGAAATATATAATTAATGAGAGATATATATTATGTTAGAGAGGGAAATATATAATTAATGAGAGATATATATTATGTTTGAGAGGGAAATATATAATTAATGAGAGATATATATTATGTTTGAGAGGGAAATATAATTATGTGTTAAAGATAAATGTATTATTTATGTCATGCTTATATAATGTGTGAGAGAGAAATATATCATTTGCGAGACAAGCATATACTATATGTGAGAGTCAGGCATGTTTATATAATGTGTGAAAGAGAAATGTATTATGTGTGAGGGTTTCAATGTTGCCATGTTATTACATTCATTACAAATTAACGTGTTCATTTGGTGAAAAATGAGACACTTGTTTTTGTTAGAACTATTTGATGTTTGATGATAAAGGCTCATTTTCACTACATTTTGTGCAAGTCCAATGGAGTGATAAAGTTAGTTTTTTACTTAAAATTCGATAGACAACAAAAAATCCTCCATGAGGTTTAAATGTCCCCTTTCCCCTTGTTTAGAACATAGTACCTAGTAGATTAGTAATTTTAACAAGATCAGTTACCTTTAAAACACATTCATGACGATGTTTGATGTAAACAAATTACAAGTTGAAAAATACACATTGTCTGCGTTTAAATGTAATTAAAATCACCTATGGTAATGATATCGATTTTAGAATGGTATAAATAGCTTAATGGATTTTTGTGCTTGGCTCGTTAAACTAACCAGGTATTCTTTAAACGTTTAACTCCGAGATACTCCGATGTAACATGATCTGTCGAAAACTCTTATTTAGTCATGGGTTTACCCCAAGATCGCTTGTTCGTAACGCACGTGTAGTTAGACGGAATTCACAAACATTATTATCACAGGTTAAATCAGTTTATCGTGTGATCTAAAATAGAATGTATATTGTAAGTCAGATATTTTAAATCCAATGCACAATATGTAATACGAATGCACATAATATACATGTATTAGGACGGTAGTTTGCATAACTTGGTTCATGAATGATTTCAAAAACAGTGTCTCATTCATTATGTATTCAAAACATAACGACCGGGACGTATATTAATAACGCTTATATCAGCGTTGTCAATAGGGACCCAATACATTCAGGTAACTAAAACACTGACTTAACATTAGACGAGCTTGTTTTACTTTGCGTCTTCGAATGCAGATAAGATCTCACGACGCCGGTGTCGTTGTAATAGGTTCAGACAAAAGCGATTTGGAAGTACCACACACTCAAATATCACACCGTTCGACCGCTTACTGTAACAGAAGGCAAACGAAAATAAAGATAAAAGGGAATAAGTAGGGTAAAATCCGAAGTGTTTCCATGGTACATAAATTTGGCCTCTCTGATGTTATCATACATTAAAGAATCCAGCCTTTGCACATCCTAGTTTCGTAGGTTAATACTAGACATTTATTTTTGTTATAATCAAATCGAATGCTTTAGGGTGATGTTGTAGGATTTCTTTCTAAAAGTGTCAACGTATTAATTTTCATGGTCTGGGTCAGTTATGCAAAAATGGTAAGGTAGGGTCATTTGGATTTAGAATTTGGTTTACACAAATGATGCTATTTTATGCATAGGGATTTCGTTAATTATATGTAAGCGTACCCTTTGACGTGTATAACGCCTACCCTTTACCGTAGTTCACAGTATCCGTGGTCTCCAAAATAGAGCGGGCCTTGTCTAGTGTACAACATCGACCAGGCTCTATATCGGGTGTCAGACTTTAAACAGGGGGATTGTGATGTAAAATACCTTTTATCAGATTGCATTATATCACGAACGACCGATCTGGTTGCGTACTTCTGACATGCTTGTCCTCGTCCGTACCCGTAACAGTGATCGCGGAAGAAAGCATAACATGCTTTATTAGAGCTGTTTGTTCAGTATATCTCTGTAATTCTACGAGTCACAAATCTGTAAATATGTGTAAATCTACATTTGCAGAAGCTTACACATATTTAATAAACATATATGTGATGAAATTCGACACAGACTCGATTTTTTCTTTATGGTTGTAAGATAACAAAGCTTTCAACACAGAGTCTAGTTTGTTGTGCTTTGTTGTATCAATGCTAATTCCCCGCCAAAATCGTTCACCTGTAAGGAACTTCCTGGTTGGTATGACACGATCCATTCAGAAATAAAGGTTCACACATAACTACAGTGTATATGAATTACCTGTACAACCCGTCGGTGTGTCACCTAAATATAGTCGACTCGATCAAACTCTCTTACGCTCAAAATTAATAAAGTCTACCGAATTGTTTAATTACCTTGTTATATTGACATAAACTTCTAATCGCCCAGGTCTAATGGCTTAGTTGAAAGATATACACATTAAAAACACTTATCAACATTAAAAGGGGATATTTTTAATGAAATCATGGTATTTCAACCAGTAGAATGAAACTATCCTAAACAGTAAATTATCTGTCAAAGAGAATGCTTAGGATACATTGAAACTTAGAGCCTGTTCTACGTAACGTAATCTCATACGTTACTTAATATTTCATGGTCTAAAGGTGGTTTCCGTATTCCCCCAGCTTAATTCTCCGAAGTGTTCCAACACATTGATGGATAGTCTATATGGTTATAAACTCAAATTCAGGCTTTGCAAGGAATGCATAATGACACAGAAATGAATGAAAAATGAAACAAAGCAGTATTGATCCAAAAAATATAATTATGACGTGTTGCCAACGTCATAGATGAGCAAAATAGTTTTATATGATATCGGTTCGTTATGTGTAGACATACATAACAGTAGGAAGTATCCCCATGCACCAACACTGATGTTATAGCCACTTTCCTCGGTCTACTAACATGTACGACAAGGGAGGCGATTTTCTATTATCCGACCATGAGCTTTCGCCTTTTTGGTAGTAACATCCCTGCTTTCCCAACCTACATGTCGCAGTTGATTTTGTATTCTTATTCCCTTGCACTTTTTTTCGATGGTTTGCATGCAGATCTCACCTTTGTTTATATTAGAACACAGTTTGATCGATTTTGAATTCAAAATGCGGTTTTGGCGACATTTCGGGTTCGAAACAAAATCATCGAAGGACGTATGAAGATATACAAAGACAATCGCGGATAATCCCTATCATATTGATAGGGATAGAGGATGCAGGCTATCAAGGATGGGGGTTAAAACAAAGTACTCAGTGCGTATCTGATGCTTTAAAATACAAAAAAACCCACAACTTTAATGGACAAAAGCGGTGCTGCAAAAATGATTTAATTTTGTATTACAGGTTTATAGCGCCATTCGTCGACACAGTTAATGGGATATCTCACTCGTCTGTTCTTCTTACAACAGAGATGTCAGCAATCTCGAGAAACATCCTGCGAATAAAGGGGGGAAAATAAGAAACTCAGAATATAGTAATGGAGACAACGGAACCATTTTGTATGAATGGAAGTCCCATAAGTGATCTCTACATTAAATGCAAATTTTTCGATGAAAGGTAGAGCGTAGTATGCCATTTGAATTCCAGCTCCTTCAGGATCCCTGTCCCATTACCCTGTAGTTTTTCATATATACAGTAACCACCCCTTAACTTCCGTTTTGATATAATTGTAAAGCAAATGGGCCAAGACGCCTCCATCGACCAGGTAGCTCAACTGGTTAAATTGGTTAGAGCGATAGTTCAACAGTCTGTAGTTACAGGGTTCGAATCCGGGTCTACCCCTTTAGTGATTTGTTACAGTCAGAACATTGTTGTTGATTATATTTTGTTTATTTCATTTTTATTCTATCTCATAATAGTCTCGAAATGTGTGATTTTCTTTTCAGAAATGATTTATCAAAGCTATAGTCATGACGGGAAAAAAACATTATCCAACACTTGAGTTTTTATCACTGTTTTCCTATGACCTTAGCTAGGACTCAAACCTTGAAAACGCAATCCAAGACAATGTTTTTAGAATGATTATTATTACCCGAGCACGATTATATGGCTTAAACGATCTACATTCACTTTATAAGTTTATTGCCAAATTCGACCTTGACCTTGTTTGCTATTTACATAACCGCTACATGTTCAAACACCGCCAATAATCAATAGCAGAAATAACATGGTGAATCAGGCGATGATCCATTTTCTCTGTATGACCATGAAAATTAAAACTGCTTATGATTTTTATCAAATTGTAGAACAGTTTTAAATCGTAAATTTGAATTCCTACGTTTTCAAGTAACGGATGACAAATGGTATGTCTTTTAAACTCAAACAGAAATCCTAGTGGAAAGTAACGTTTGTCAGTTAAAAAATACTTTTTATATGACAACAAAAACTAGGTTAAATCGACTCTCATTGGGTAATTTTTAGGTTGATATTCGTATGAACGACAGAGGCCATATGGCGACAATCTCCACCGATGACGTATCAACTGAAGGACGACCTAATATTACCAGCTACCAGAAATGTCGCATGCAGTGCATCAACTATGCAAGAAAGCACAGACGCATAATTCTTTGGACAGAAGAGCAATGCAGGGCCTCCTCTGTATTCCAATAAGCTGGCACATATTGAAGGTGATGGCGTAGATGTTGCTGCAGTCGGATACAGTAGTCAAAAGAGAAGTATCAAATTTGAGAAAACAGGTTCATAAATATTCTGGAAAATTCTACATCAATACGATAAAGAGGATCTTAAATTCGTTCGCATTTCATACTTGATTCATTAAAAACCCGTCACAATTTGTTATTTTTTGGCTCGTAAAATGAATTTTTGATCCAATACAAGATCCTCTATATTTTATTGTATTGTAAATTGTTTTAAGAAAGGTTCCTGTTAAGTCCTGTTTAGAGACATTGGTGTCTATGTTGAACAGTTTTGAAGATTTTAATAAATATCTTTCATGAAGTTCATATAGGGAACATAACAAAATAAATGGCAAGAGTCACTCTTCATCCAAGCTTTCGGGCTTAGCTTTTCATCAGGACCATCCGATCCCTGATGAAGGGGTGAGCCTGAAACCTTGGATCTAAAGTGACTGTTGCACCTGGTTTTGAGATGGTTATCAATGTCCACTTTTATTTTAACGTATCTTATTCAGAAAAGTTTTAATGCGTTTTTCCTATGGCGAGATTTATCACATAAAGACACTCACAAGACAGTTTATGAACCTAAGAACTATTAGAATTAATGAACATACATATCAGATTCAATAGCTCAACAATGTGATTTGACTCGGGTAATGTAACGTAAAATGCTATATTTTCCCGTGTATCTTAGGGTATCCTTATACATTAACCTGAAAGCTTACACAATGACAAAGAAAACGTGAGTGGTACTAATAACCACCTTCCAGCGTACCATTACCAGCTCTCCTGGAGTTCATAGTTAAATATCATCTATCTCCATTAACGAGATATTCACGTTTAACATACATGTCTCATACTGGACATGTCAATAGATAATAAAAAAGTCCAAGGCTTAGAATGCTTTAACTTATTACTGGGTAGTAAACAATTCAACTAATGTTTGTTCACGTTTGACCTCGGACTGTTACAATATCATGTCATACTAACACCATGGCTTGATGTATTATACGAATCGAAGAGTATTGGATATCTCTAAACAATCAGATATAATTACAGTTATGTTACTTGTAACCAGCCAATGTCTTTCTCAACTCCCTGCATACAACTGGTGCTGCCATTTAGGCGCACACAGCTAGCATTCAACAATTCCAGCACTGCCCAAACACGTTATCATTTACAGCTGTGTAGATGGGAAGAACTGGAGTAAAGTATCAATGATACAACACAATGCCACGACGGGATTCGAACCCACGACCCTCACCGTTATCAATCATTTGGTGTTCCGTACATAGATGCTATCAGCATTATTTGTACTTTGATTTTTCTGTTATCACTTATTAAGTTATCAGTAAAAAGACGCATATAACAACAGTTGTACTTCAACCTTACTGTTATCAGTCATTGAGTATTCAGTAAAGGGATACCACTAAATCCTAGTGGTACCGTAGCTTGACTGTAATACAAGGTCGACACTGATGACTTTGATTAAGCCTAATAAGGTCCTGATTTATAGAGTTCATCATAGGTACCTATATCGTAAGCACGTACAATACTTGTGGTGTGTTATCAATGATTGAAATAACGTTAAGCTATCATCTGTTTATGAATTAAGGAGTTTCAGTGTCTGCCATAATAAACAATTGTTCACTGTGTGCGAGATTTGTTGTGATCGATATTCTGGATTGGACGGTATACATTAAGATGAGCAATACATTCGATGCCAAAAAGTTTACATTTCCGCATAAATAATTATTTATATAGATCGTTACACAACCGTTTGAAAGTCTAATTCCCTTGGGGCGGAGTCGGGCTAGGGGCCAATTCCTGAAACATAGTGTATTGCCATCTGTATTCGTTGTTTGATTCCGCTTGTTATTTTCATGAAACGATGACGATCTGGTATTTCGTTTCTATTCTTATACAGAAGGCAATACAAAGAAACAACCAAATATCAAACATAGAGATCAATGATCTTTATTTTTTTTTTATAAAACATCTACACAGAAATATGTATAAAATATAGGATACCTAGCTAAAATATAGTATCTGGTACATTGCTAGCTAATGAATCTAAAATAAGATGATACCCATGTATATTTCAATTTACTAGGTGGTAATCACAAACTTTTACATCAATTAATATGTTAAGCAATATACCGGTTAAAGATAAGGATCGGTTTAAAATAAACAGGAATAAAAACATTCAATAGGAACACGCTTCGTCAAAGCCGTACGGATAAAAACTAAATTGTTATTAAATCTCACCCATAGCAGAAACTTTATTTTATGATAGCAGCAAACATTTTGCTTTGAGGTTAACGTAGAATAGACCGATAGATTGCATTCAAGTTTTCATTGTTTAATGCTAAATTACCTTGGAATCACATTCTGTATGACACGGCATATCTTATTAACGCATGCGACACTGAATATATTCTTTATCATACTATAGAAACCGAAAACTACCTCACATTTGCGATTATTTCAAAACATCTTATTTCGTAGAAATCTGAATTGGCGAAATCAAAAATACTGAGGAAATAACTTTACTGTAGAATACAAGTGATTGACAATATCCAGATCACAAGGGAAAATCTCGATTTTTTTGGGGTTCAAAAATGTGCATTGTTAAGCAAAGAAAAGACAGTATATTTAACAATTATGTTTGAAGAACTCAAAATAAATATTAATGAAAAAACGTCTGCGTTTCCTACCCTTAATTTTTAAAATCATAACTTATTCAAATAGTATTGTAAACCAATTACTGTATTCAATAAAACGATCCATAAACTATACACTTATGATACAGGGGTATCACCTTAAAGTACAACCAAATCAAATACATTCAAACTTCGTTATTACGATGTTGAACGTTAAATTAATCGTAAGTCCAAAGTATTTTTTTTTTTCAAAAATGTGTTCAATGTTCTCAGTTGACATACGGAACTTCGCACATAGCCATAAAGGTCTTACAGCCACATGTTTAAGCATATCTCAGCATTTAAAAAAACGTATTTCGAATTAAATCCTTACATTATCGAAACTGTGGTCATAGAATTCGTAATAACAAGTTTTTGTGTATGTATCTATAAATGAAAAATAAAATCTTTAAGTAGCAATACATTATTCGGTTATAGTTCACAAAATGTAAAAACAGTTGAAAATAAATATAGAAACGATTTTGATCCTGAATTTCATGGCAATAATTAAGTGGTTTATTTTTTTACTAAAAAGTCGAACATTTGATAAAAAAATCAGAATATTTTACTAAACCTTAAACTCAAACCACAACCACAGAAACTGTAGCTTTAAATGATACTCAAAATGATTAAAAAGATAACATAATTTCAAATAAATTTCAATACAATTCTCTTTAAAATAATTAAAAAAAATGTAAAATACATGACACTATAAAACAGCTAAAATAATGGTAATGTACATTCTTAAGTTAGTGACTAAAGACGTAGAGTCAAGTACGACTAGAGGACGTTGAAGATCACAGATTTAGAGTTATGCACCATGTTTTGTTTAATACGAGAACAAACAATCCCAAACAGTCGTCTTTTTGGTATAACCTGGCTCTTTAATCATTTAACCGTTCTCATGCTTAGACAAATATTCTGTGCTCAGACCAACCTCCTTGTAGCTTACTTACATCAAGTGACACGGTCAAAAAATGTAGTGTAGACATGGATAACATTATTCTGTTTTAAGTCTCTCCTGAAATGACCAAAATCATGGGGAAAATCTGCTGTACTATTGATTTATCAACAGAACCACAAAACTCCGCTTGAGCACATAATCT